ACTGGTCTCGAACTCCTGAGCTCCATCGATCCTCCCGCCTCGGCCTCCCAGAGTGCTGGGATTACAGGCGTGAGCCACCGCGCCCAGCCTCCTTCAGTCCCATCTTGCTCTCGCTCAGCCTGACCCGAGCACGCAGGAGGCAGCTGCCCGCCCTCCCCTGGCGGAGCCCCCATTCCTCCTGCCGAAAGGCCTTGAGCGAGGAGCCCCGTCCCAGGCAGACCTCTTGCCTGCCGGCAGGATGCAGCCCCAGGGGCCAGCAGGGACGGTGGGGAGGGCCACACGCCACCCTGGGCACCTGGTTGGGCTCACTCCAGGGTACTCCCAGCACGCCCTCGCTGACCACTGCGTCTGTGCAGACGCAAACCTTCTGAAGGTGGAGGGGGGGATGGAATGGTTTGTGTCATTTGCAGATGGACAGACGAGGCTCTGGCAAGTGGTTTGTTCAGCCGGCCAGCGGCAGAATGGAGAGAGTGTGAGTGTTTTCAGTGTCTGTGATATTCACGTTAAAACCCACACGTTCTCTCACTCACCTGCCTCTGACCGGCGATGCCCACCCCGCCCACGTGTGAGCATGTTCCAGGCACTGATGTGGTAGGTGGTGACAGTTTCTTACATCTGCGCTTTACAATTTACGATCTTGCCCGTGTTTTATTTTTAAAAAACTTTTTATTGAAGTACAACATACATCGAAGTGCACAAGTGATCAATACGCAAGAGGACGAACGCCCCAACCGGCACACAGCCGTGAAAGCGGCACCAGGCCGGACACCCCGGGCCCTTCCCGGGCCCCAGTGACGGACGCCACAGATGAGTTTTGCCCGTTTTGGAGCCTCGTACACCTGGGGCCATGCAGTCTGTGCTCTCTGTGGCTGAGAGGCACGACTGTTGCTGCAGACAATTGTAATCCGCACCCCCAAGACTGCGGCGACCACAACGTGACCAGAACCCGCTGGCATTTGGTGGCTTCTGGGCTCGCTTTCCCTATCGCAGACGGTGCTGCCGGGACGCTGCTCTCACCCTCGTCTTTCGGTGGACACCGGTGTGTATTTCTGCTAGATGACACCCAGTAGTGGGACTGCATGGGCAGAGGGGTATCTTCAGCTTTAACAGATTTGATCAAACCGTGCTGCAGATTGGTGGCCCGTTTCTGTCCCTGGCAGTGCCTAGGCCCCCTGCCGTACCTGAGTTGCTCGTTGGGAGGGTGAGAGAAGGTGCCTCTGCCCAGGGCCTCACAGCACCCGGTACGAGGACCTGCCCACACACGGCCTCGCCTCAGTCCCAATTTCCATCTCCTGCAGACTCAGCCCCTCACACTCAGCTGCTGGCTGAGAACTGCCAGAGGGAGGCGCAGGGTCCCAGGGCGTGACCGGAGCCCAGGCTGGGGAAGGTGGACGCCACCCCGGTGTGGGGGCCGTGTCCCTGCCACAGGGAGCCCAGGTTGCCCACTGCAATCCACCTCCAAGGACCCAGCCCTGCAGACCCCTGGGCAGCACCTCTGGCTCCAGCTTGCCGTGCTACGGCGTCTCCAGCTCCGTGAATGAGGCCTTTGAGATGGACGCACCAACCCAACCCCCCACCCCACCCCCGCAGCCCGAGACTTCAAAGGGCGTGAGAACCGGGCAGCCTTTGGCAGAAGCAACCACAGCCTTCTTCCTGGCAAGACCTGGCCGGGGGCATCGGAAGTGGGTGACCCTGCCTCAGGACTGCTGCCTTGGTTCTCAGGGACGGGCCGTTGGGGGCTTTGTGCGAAGGAGACGAGACACATCTGAGCTGAGAAAATTCAATGTTTTGATTCATTATTGTCATGGGGGAGATAAATTAGCCTTGGGATTATCTGTGATTGGATGAAATTGGATAATCCTAAAGCTAATTATATCTCAATTTTTTTTTTTTTAAGAGAGAGGATCTCATTCTATCACCCGGGCTGGAGTGCAGTGGCACAATCACAGCTCACTGCAGCCTTGAACTCCTGAGCTCGAGGGATCCTCCTGGCTCAGCCTCGCGAGCAGCTGGGACTACAGGTGCCACCACCACACCAATCTAATTAAACATTTGTCTTTTTTGTAGAGAAGGTCTCAATGTTTCCCAGGCTGGTCTCAAACTCCTGACCTCAAGCGATCCTCCTACCTCAGCCTCCTGAGTAGCAGGGATTATAGGCGTGAGCCACTGCACCTGGCCAATTATATCTGTTTTCATCTCATGCCCCTGGAGACACTGCGTGAACAGTGACCAGGGGACACGAAGGGGTGACCCACCTACTCAGTGGGCACACCGAGTGCAAACCGCCCCTCCCTTGGGCAAAGGCGCCCCACTTTCCACGGAGCACCTTCCACCATCCGAGACATTTCTGATCGGTACCCCCATACGGAGGCTGAAAACAGGTGCTTTTTAGTCTGTTCACTGTCTAGCACCGAGGGCCTCCCACACGCACGCTTCACGTGCACCCAAGATCCGTGCAGGGAAAGCCTCTCTGCGTCTAGCCATGGCCACAGCTGGAGCGGCGGGGACACTGCCTGACCAGAGGGCCCAGCTTCCTTCATGGCGGCCCAGGGCCCCATGAGCAGCCAGTAACCTGCCCTCAGGCTCTCCCCACTGGGCTTGAGCACAGCCTCTCAGGAAGGCCTGGCCCAGTGCTGGGTCACCATGTGTTGGTTCAAGGGCCATCTGTTTCCTCTGTATTTGGGGGGCAGGGGTACGTGAGGTGGCAAGCTGGTATCCTTGCATGTGTCCACCCGTGGGACCTGTGAAGACTCTGAGCTGGGGTCTGGCTCAGTGGGAAGCAGCAATGCTGCCCGTCGGCACCCAGGAGGAACCAGGATTCACCATTCACCCTGACACCGGTGGCAAGATAAGCCTCTAAAGCAGTTTTTTAGATGAGATGCGAGAGTCTTCTCTCATTGTCATTAAAAATAGGTTTAGTTGCAAATAATTACATAAACCCAAACGGCATTGCTGAAGCACTGATGATTTATGACTTCTCAGGACAGGAGGCCCAGACTTGGCCTCTCTCTGCCTCACTGTCCGTGGAACACTTCATTTTAAAGTTTGACTCCTGGTTGCAGGGTGGCTGCTGCAGCTCCAGACATCACATCATACCCCTACTTGGATGGATTTAAGGCTACTGGAAGGAAGAGGCATTGCTTGCCTGTCATTTTCCGAGAAAAAAACCTTCACAGAAGAGCCCTGGCACACTCCCCATCCTGTTGGCTGAAGTTGATCAGAGGACGCCTGCTGTGGAGGGTGAAGACATGCGGACCTAGGACAGGCTGGGATTATCCCAGTCAACCTCCCTGGAGCTGCGTATACATCCCCTGACAAAACCCAGTTACGCTGGCAAGGAACAGGGGCGGGGAGGTAACTGACAGGTGCCTGCCCCTGCTCAGCCTGTCCTTGCTCCCACCGACCTGCACGCGGCCAGGCTGGACGGGCCATCGGCCCACCGGCTGGGAAGGCTGCAGCACCAGTTCCCACGACACACAATCTCTCGCTGGAGGGCCAGGGAAGAGCGCGGCAGCCTCAGGCTGAGTCACAGCCCTGACCTCACCGCACCCTCCTGGCAACAGCCGGCAGGTGCTGGGGCTGCAGCTGCCAGGCCTGGATCCGAGGGGGGCGCGTGCGTGCGCTCACCCCCCGCGGCCATCTCTTGTGGACACAGGCAGGAGCCCCGACGTCCTGAGGCAGCGACCACACCCCGGCTCCTGCTCAGGCAATGCTGGGGGCACCCCTCCTCCATCAGGGGCCCTGGGGCCTCCCCAACCCCCGCTGGGAAGCGCGGCAAGGATGGTCTCACGGGTCTCCACGAACCCCAAACCAGGCGTCTCCACACGCATGAATGACTGAAGCGCCACCAGGGCATTCCCGGAACACAGGTCGGGGACAAGGACCTGGGGGAGCTGAGCAGCGTTCTCCCCTCACTGGACATCTCTGGGCCAAGATTCCGCCCGAGGGCCCAGGGGCAGCACCTTTTCCCAGCCCACCTCATCTGCTGCTTCCTGGGGGTGAAGTTCGTGGCCAGTGAGAGGTGCCTGGGGGGGTGGGACGGACACCTGGTGCAGCTGTAACAGGTGTCCTGGATCCTTCCAGAACTGAACAGGCTTCTGAGCCATCGGCCACAGGCGACTGCCTCTCCCCTGTCTGCAAACTGTCCTGTGACCGCAGCAGCGCGACGCTGAGGCCGCCACGTGTCACCCCCAGGTCTGCCACTGCCCGTCAGGTTGCCAGGACCCGCCCAGCAGAGGAGCCCTCCCTGGGGCGGAGGGCATTGGCAAGGGTCCCCTGTCCACCCAGACCGAATGCCCCCACTCTCTGCCGCGTGCACCCCCAGAGCTGCCCAGGACAACTGTCTTTCCAAAACCTGCTCCGGCTTCCCCTTCGTCTCGAGCCCCGGCCCCGAGTTTTCTAATGCAATTATTTGGTCGGTTTGGGCAGACGGTGGCACCCAGCTGGAGGACCCGACATGCCGGCCCCCACAGGAACCAACCGTGGCACAGAAGTGACGTGGGCACCTCTGTTCTGGCCCAGCCAGAGACCCCACGTGGGTGAGGACCACACAGGGGCTTTGGTGCTCACGGGGACCCTATGGGACCTTCTCCGCCCCCCCGGCTCTGTTCCCCAGATTCTGGGCGCACGGTGCGGTCACAGGAGGAGACATGGAGTTCGAGGGCTCGGTGCCTGGAAAGAAGCACTCGCGGACGGCAGATCGAAGCCGCCATTTATGGGAGGGAAACACGCTTGTGGGGGGAACACGGGGCAGGCTGACAACAGCATCTCTACTGCGGGGAACCGGCCGCTCCCAACCAGAGCGGGAACCGGGAACGTGGCTGCCCCGCTCAGTCCCACTCCCCCTCGGCCTCAGCGTCGTCCTCCCGCGGCGCCTCCAGGTCGTTCAGGTGGAAGTTGGCCATCATGTCGCGCACGGCCAGCATCAGCCTGTTCAGGCCTTGGTTGCGGTTCGGACCCCCCAGCACGCCGTCCTCGGCCCTCTCCCCCTGCGGCAACGGGAGGTTCTGAGCTGGGACTTGGGACCTGGGGTCCGAGCAGGAAGATGCGTTGCCAAGCCTGCGGCAGCCCCCACCCCCGCGCCGGGCCCCGAACCCGCCCAGGCCCCTGTGAGGAGAGGAAGCTCCCGTCCACCCAGGCCAGGCAAACGGGGACGGGGTCGAGAGGCTGCGCTGACTCCTGGGCACTGTGCCCCGGCTTGGCAGCTGCGGCCTCAGGCTGGGCACACCCCACCTCCCGAGCAGACGGGCTCCCCACTGGCATGACACAGCCGCAGTGGTTCCTCGCCCTCCGCGCTGCTCCTGGCCCCGCAGGGTCCAGACAGTCACAGTGGCAGGGACTTACCAGCACCCACTGGCCCGGAGAGCCAGGACGTGTCGGACCTACCTCCGCGGTATAATTAGGCAGCAACGATCGGAAGAAGAGAGCGATTGTGTTTCCACGGCTGACGGGACTTATCCTGGAAGGCCAGAAAATAAAGCTGAGCGGACATTCTGGGTACCAGCCCAGCTCACAGGGACCCTGTCAGCCGCCTCCACCCTCTCCAGCACCTGGCGGGGCAGGAGCAGCCCCGAGCAGCCGCGGGAGAGACACGGAGCCTGAGCCAGGCCCTGGGTTCCCCCGCGGTGGCAGATTGGGGCCCTGGGCGGGTCGTGAAGACCCCGACCAGCTCGGGAAGGGGCTGTGGACTGCTGGGGGCGGGGAGGGAAAGACCAGCTCAGACTCGACCAGCAAAGGGCGTCCAGGCTGCGGGCTGGCCCTCTCCAGCCCGGCCCCCCACACCGAGTGGGCCGCGGAGGCTGCCGCAGCCAACCTGGCCACCTTCCGCCGCACAGGTGCCTGCGTTGACGCACATCTGCGGTCTCACTGTTTCCTTCGGCACTTACGGATTCGGGAGTGTAAACTAGTCGTGCTCGCATGGAAGACTCCAGAGCCTTTGTTAGGTGGAGACCCCACTGATGAGATGGGCTCCTGCGGCGCAGCCCCACTGGACTGTCCTGCCTACACTGAGGGGCTGAGACCCTGAACCCCGTGGTCTGTGGGGCGCGGCGAGGGCAGAACATTCCTCAGTGCCACAGCATCCAGCACGTCAGGACACGGGTTTTTTGAGCCCATAATGTTAACAGAAAATTATTTTCTGACATTAACAGAAAATTATTTTCATCTTTCTTAGAGACTATAACTGGGAACTATTTTCCCATGAACATGCAGTCCGAGTTTTATAACAGAATTCAGTGGGACAAAAAGGACTTCCTTCTACCACATGTGTCCCACCCAGGTCTGGAAAGCACCTGCCTGCTCGAAAGGCAGGCTCTGTCTGCTCTGACCTGCGGCGGTGGGTGGCGGCCCTCGGCTGGGAAGCCACGCAGCTTTCGCGACCAGATTCTGAAAGCCCCTCCCCACTGCCGAGGGCACACTCCGCCCCCCAGCTCAGCACGCCCACCCTCTCTCCTGGCGGGTTCTCACTGCAGTTCTGACTTTATGTTTATTTCTCGATTCCGAACTTAATGTCTGTTCTCCCTGCTTCACTGTGCACCTCCCAGGGCGGAGTCTCTGGTTTTGCTTCCCGCTGAATTCCAGCACCTGCTGTGGAACCTGGCAGAGAAGTGCTCACGCGTGTGGTGGAGAAGCACATGTGTGACCACGCGCTGCTCTATCGCTCTCCCCTCCTCAAGAGCGGGGGAGGCCCTCTTGACGCCTGTGCCTGGTTTCTCAGCTTCAGCGTCCAGAGGAGGTGGGTCCCAGTGAGGCCCAAAGCACTGACCTAGAGCTGCACGAGCCACAGGGCAGGGCGGGGTGGAGCGGTACCTCTCTGGTCTGACGTAGGAGTAGATCGTGTCCAGGGGAGGCAGAGGGTCAAAGCCCATCACAGACTGCGTGGTCACATCCTTCGGGAAGGGACGCAGAAGAGAGATGCTACGGGTGCTGCTGGGGGCCTCTGCCCTCTCCCAGCAGAGCCCTCCACTGGCTCCAGTTTGGACTGGACCTACCCACTGAGAGCAAGAGTCGCACAGACCCGGCTGTGCTCTTTGTACCAAGGAGCTTTGGGCGAAGGGGTGGAACAGCCCTCCTTCTACCAGGACACTCTCGACATTCTGCCCTGCTCACAGGACTGTGGGGCGGGAGTGTCCTGTGGCTGCTGCTCACACAGGTGTCAGAAACTCTCGCTTCAGTGGCTGCGGGGACCCGAACCCAGGCCACACAGAGCTCCTGCTGCGCCAGCTGGCCCACCCTCAGCCCTCCACTCGCAGTGCCCCGGGCCGTGCTGATGCTGATTAGAACAAGCAGCTCGTGCCTGAGACCAGGCCGGCTGGGCCAGTCGCAAGGCCCAGCAGAGCAGCCCCGAGCAAACCAGGAGGCACCAAGGTGTCCTCAACGATGAGCCGAGGGCCACACCACCTGTGACCTGCGGTTTTTCTCACTCTTTCCATGTTATTCCACCCCTCTCCCCCTGCTTTTGCTTTGAGACAGAGTCTCGCTCTGTCACCTGGACTAGAGTGCCGTGGCGTCAGCCTAGCTCACAGCAACCTCACACTCCTGGGCTCAAGTGATCCTCCTGCCTCAGCCTCCCAGGTAGCTGGGACTAGCGGTATGTGCCACCATGCCCGGCTAATTTTTCTATTTCTAGTAGAGACGGGGGTCTCGCTCTTGCTCAGCCTGGTCTCGAACTCCTGAGCTCAAAGGATCCTCCCGCCTCGGCCTCCCAGAGTGCTGGGATTACAGGCGTGAGCCACCGCGCCCGGCCTATCTTATCCCTTAATGAAGGATAAAGTTTCTTTACGGGTTTTCAGATAGCAACAGCTGGGGTTCCCGCAACACCTCCGACACGAGACCTGCGACAGAGCAGGACTGGACCCTACGACTGCACAGAAGCCCCTGCAGCCACACCATAAAGCCACAAGACAGGGGTGCCACAGCTTACCAAGGCCACAGCATGTGGCCACGTGCCCTCAGAGCAGGTCCAGGAACAGGCTTGCGATCTGAGCCCGTAAGGACCTACTCTCGAAACGCCCAGCACCTGGGCCCCAGCTGCCGGGGACGAGCCCTCTGGACCCCACAGGCCCCGCAGGAGAGAGGCTGGCCAGACGGCCCGGGCCTCTCGCTGGGCGCACGTGACCGGCTCACACAAAGCTCCCATTGTCAGCCCCTCCCTTACCGGGGGCAGGGCGGCAACAGCTTCCTTGATCTCGGAGAGGATCACGTGGCGGTGGATATTTCTGGGTGCGCGCTGGTAGAGCACCTTCCGCCTAAGGCCGAGGAAAACGAGGAAACGCAAATGAAATGGCAGCCACTGCGCAAAACGCCAAGGGTGCCGCCCACCACGAGGCAGCTCGCTCCACACCCCATTCCGAGCAGGGCCTGTGGTAGGAGCAGACCCTGGGGGCAAATCCCAGCCCTGCGGTCCGAGACTCGGCCTCTTTGGCCACAAAATGGGAGTGATGAGTCGCAGCCAAGGGCTTCTCGTGAGGGTTCACTGAGCCGCTCTGCGCGCAGGGACACGTGGGTGCCACTGTCACCGCCGCTGCACGGGCACAGGGCACCTGCTTCCAGCTGGAAGTCGCTCCAGGAAGGCGGCGCGGGGAACAAAGTGTGCTCTCGCCTGCGAGTGTCTGGTGCAGGGGGGAGGGCAGGCGAGTGGACAGTGTCCCCACGATCGCGAGCGCCTGGGTGCCACGCCGCCTCCTCCCTTCTCCTACCACCCAGGGCGCAGCCTCACTCCCGCCTCAGAAGTGCAGGTGGGCGGCACTGCCGCACAGCAGACGCAGCCTCCCCGTGCCAGCCTGGCCACAGCTGGCGCCAGGCCTTGGTGCTGACAGCAGAGCAAGTGAGGGCTGAACAAGAGCAGGCGAGGGGCTGTTTCTCAGACGGGGCACGTCAGATAAGCCGCCGAAATCCCACGTGCAGGAAGGAGAACCCGTGACGGAGGGTGCTTGCTCCTGGAGCCCACTCGCTCGCACCTCTGCCAGGAGGGAGACATCCACCCACCAGAGACGCTGGTGTGAATGAGACCGGCCAATACTGCGGCAAATGCGGAAACACAGGATACATGGCCGGAGGAAACACCGAACAAAACCACTATTACAGGCAACAACCGCCCACTGGTTTTGCAGTTCTGCGTTGACGCCAGCAGCAGCCGCTGCCCAAGAAGCCTCGGGACAGGCCGGGGCCGTGCACACGTGCACACACACCCTCTTTAAACCTTCAAACGGGCGCTCGGTGGGCCTGCTGTCCACAGCGGCGGGAGGCCAGAGCCAGCAGACAAGCCAGGCGCCTGCAGCCCCCACTGCCTGGAACCAGAGGCTCCCGCGCCTGTGTGAGGGTCGCTGAGGAGAGGGCTGTGGCGGGGCTGGAGCCCACACCTGACGTGTCCTCACGCAAAGTCCCGGCTCACCTGCTCTCACAGGCCTCCACGGCAGGGTCTCCGGCGTCCACGGCCTGCAGAACCTGGCGGACGTTCTCCTCCAGCCAGCTCATGGTGGCGGGTTCTTTCCAGAGGAAGTGCGACCTCCCGAGGTATAGACTCACCAGCTGGCTCAGGGCGGGAGGCTGGCTGGGGGGAGCAGGGCCTGTCAGCAGAGCCCCTGCCCCGGCCAGACCCGCCCTCCATGCCGGGAGGCCCTGCTGGTGGGCAGAGGGGTCGCCAGGGCATGCCCAGGGGTGGAATGAAGGGAGGTGGCCTCTTTGGCTGCCGGACCTGGAGACACTTGAGCTCCTCAGAGCGGTGCACAGGCGTCTGCCTTTGTGAGCCGTGTGTGTGTTTCATTCTTTAGGCAGAAAGACTGACCCGACGGAAATGGAGAGACTACCAGGAACAAGCACGTCTGTGCGTCTGCGAGTGCGCGCTGGAGGGCAGCGCGCTGGCCTGCTGACGGGGCCGGCCACACCACGCATGTTTCTTACATGTCTGCTTGCTCGTTGCTTGTTTGTGTGTTTATTTAGAGACAGGGTCTTGCTCTGTCACCCGGGCTGGAGGGCAGTGGTGCCATTAGCTGACTGCAGCCTCAAAGTAAGGCCTACGCCAGCACACCCAGCGCTTTTCCTACTTTGTAGAGACAGGGTCTTGCTGTGTAGCCCAGGCTGGTCTTATACTCCTGGCCTCAAG